CGATTGTCCGATATACTCGGGACTGGAGCAATTCCGGATAATTAAATATACCAAATAATTGGACTGTACCTACACATGAAGTGATAAAGATGAACAATATAATTACAAGAGCATCGATGTATAATATAATAATGTTATTTATTAATAAAAAATAAAATGTATAAATAAGAATTCTTATTAATTCTTATTAATTTCAATTTCAATTAATTCAGTAATTATTACGTCAAATTATTTGTCATTTTATTTGAGCAAAATAATTGATATAAAAAGCTATTTTCAAACAATTTATTTAGTCTTCTACATTATTTGTGAAATAAAAATAATAAAATATTACTTCAAATAAAATGTGCACAGACCTGTTTGAAACGACACTTTAACAATGACGAGACCTTCATTTGAAAAAAAATGTATGTTATGACATTTTTTACTACATTCAGCTATAGTTTTTTAATATTCACGAATGAGAAAAGCTCGATCGAACGGGGAAAGATTACAGAAGAAATATGTAATTTTTTCACCTTTTCTGAGAATTCTATCAGCGGCCAAAAATTTGCAAAATAAAGGTATGTTTATTATTTGTATATTAATATTTCCAAAATTAAAAATTCATTTATGAAAATAGTTTTCAAAAAGATTCATAAAAATTACAAATTTTAAAGACTTGTATTCTTTAAACAATTACGAACATATCTAAATGATAACTTGACTTCCCCTAATTTCATACGGGCTGCAACATATTCAAATATCATAAAAATGTCTAATCTCGAAGTATAAAAATGTTCAATTTGGCGTGAAGTGGCCCATAAATGGAAAGATAATTACGTATATTACGTATTATCTTTATAATTACGTATGTATCTATACTAAGTAACATTGTATAGACAAACAAATACATAAAAATAACTTACATAATATCGATACGTTTTAAATAGTTCAACAAGTGTCTTCGACTACCTAGAGCAAAAATTATATTATTTCCTTAAATTGTCGATTAAGCTACTATGGCTTTTTGATTCCTTGAAATGCACGGATGCAAGTTACGTAAAATTTGTCTTCTTCGTGCAGCACCAAAATAGTTAATTTTCTGCCATCGACCTTCATTTCTTCCGCCATGCTTCCGTTTCATTGTTCGCTGCTTCTTTCGCTACGATTTGTCGCGAAATTGTTCGCGATCCCGCGACAGCGGTACGGTTCGATTCGCCGTCCGAAAAAAGTGTTTTTTTCATTGCTCGAAAATAAAAAAACGAACGAGCCGCGAAAGGTCAAACGCTAAAAGGTTCTGTGAAATGAATTCCCATTCGGTCGCGTTGCGCTGGACGGCGCGTTCCGTGCACGAGAACACGATGCACTATAAATTTTCTTTTAATCTCGCGGATTGTGAAACGGGAACGAAAAATATTAAAGGGGCGAGAAAACGCCGGAGACAGAAGGCAAGCTGGAAAGGAGACGGTAATGGCAGACAGATTGTATGCTGTATGTTGCGCGTTAAAATGTCGTCGGGTGTACTCGTTTTAATTAATTCCGAACGAATTAATTACTCGTTCTTTGACACGGCGTACACGAAATGGGGGAGTGCGTATAAATCGAATTTTTCAACATCACGAGTCACTTCATCCACCCGTTTTTATGGCCACGGAAAAACAGCCGACGTTAATGAAAATGACGCACGGACAAATGCGACATCGTTAGTATCCTCCCCCACTTTCTACTTTCAAACGCGTTTAAACGGGAGTAGCACGAAACGTGACATTAATACGGCAAGTACCTCGTGCGTCGTGAGTGTAGATTCAATTGCATCTTTGAAACACGAATCGAGTAAAACAGAACGCTTTGAAACAGAGGAATAGCAAAAATCTATCCCACGGTCAGGTGAGTTTTATGTTGCTCGACTTTAACACGTTGACTGTCACGTTACCCCAGGTAAATTTTATTCAGGAATAGCGAATAAAATTTATGAACTAAGTTATGCTCGTTTAAATGCCCTTTTGAAAAATACGTGAGAGATTTTAATTTAGAAATATAAATTTATAAATATTATTCGGGAATAAAATTCGCTTAACTCAACTTTATCCATGGAGCTGGATAAATTTTATTTACGAATAATGAATATAAAGAACAATGGTAGAAATTGGCTAATTTTGGCACTGTCTGGCAATAAAAGTTATCGAGATTTATTTCTACAGATTTTAAGGAACCCAAAGTGCATAATTATTTATCCTGGAAAAGTTATAAAAACTATCAAGACTCTTTGAAATGTCGTGGTTAGTCAAAATTGCCTGATTAATAGCCATTGACTTTTTTAAATTATAATTATTCATTAGCAAAATAATCTTCCAGAAAACCAGTCAGTATGTGCATCGTAGATTGATGACGAGTTTATTGGAAACCTATAAAATTGTTATTTTATTTTTCACTAACTTGACATCCGCTCGTTTGTTCAATAATAATCAATTTGATATTTACGTGTGACTAAATTTTGCCTTGTTATGCCATTGGAAAGTTTAATTATAAATATTTATTCTCAATGATAGTGGTTAACGCTGCTTTACAATGTTTAAAGTCACTGAAAAATGTAAATTTATTAATTTAGTAAATGTCCCTCCCTTTAAAACTTTGAATTCAGGAAAATTGTAGAAATATATTACTTAGATTTCTGTAATTTTCTGTGTTATTTCACATTATTTGAATTTTACAAGGTTATATCTCGAAATTCATAAAATAAAAGTCTTAAAAAAAGTTAAATGATATGATAGTGACTATTTTTCTACGAACCAAATTTTGTAATTAGTGCAACTGTGCACCTGAAAAATGCAATTATATTGTTTTTCAATGGGATCGCATATTTTTCTACTCCGATTCTTCGAGTCATTTGTTGTAAAAATATATTAAAATACCAAGTTCGAACAATGAATATTTCGTGTGATATTCCACATTTGTTGGCCCATGCAACGTGTGCGTCTCTATAACTTCCAAAATATGTGTTACACGAAAAAATGTTGTATACAAAAGTTGCATGGTTTAAAGGGGTACATTTACTATTTTTATAAGCGGAAGCATTTCGGAGATTTGAAAGTCAACTTTGTTTTTTTAAATAGAATACTATATTTTGTATATCAAAATAAAGAAGAATGTCGAATTCTGAGTAAAAAAGTATTGACCTTTATTAGCTCTGAACTTAATTGCTAAGGAGGAATTTCACTTCATTTCTTGACAATTTTTTTCACGTAATACCAAGTTGGAAACCTAACCTTATCATAGATTTCTGTAAAACAGTAAAAATGATCAAGAAATAAAGTGCAATTACTCATTAGTTATTATTACTCATTATTTGATATTACTTGAAGAAAATTGCCAAGAAATGAAGTGAAATTATTCGTTAGCTATTAGGTCTAGGGCTAATAAAGGTTAATACCTTATTACTCAGAATACGATTTTCTTCCATCCATATTCCATATTTTGATATAAAAAATATAGTATTGTAGCGGCTAGCCGTGAAAAGTATAAAAAGACATCGGACAAGCAAACGTCTAGCACGGTTTATGACATGGACGACAGCGAAGCTATCTTGGAGAAAGCCGTTTCGGTAATTAGAGTTTTTAAAAAGCATGTCAGTAGCAAGAATTTGTTAACGGCCTCGATGATAAATCGCTAGTGTCATAAACCCTGAGTTTCCCCAAGGGTCTTCGATGCGAGGTCAAGCGATCATCGGCTGGTCACGCTGCCGATCTAGGACCTTGGGAAATTCCGTGGCGTTGCCACTTTCGCCAGCAAGCGCAACCCCCGTCAAATCGTAGCCCCGCTTCAAGAAAGCGTGCTGCAGGCACAAGAAGGGGGACGGTACGATTTGGCGGAATTCTAACTCGATAATTAGTCAAACCCACCTTTTAGGGGGTTGTCCAAAGAAAACGGCGACAGCCCCGTAAAGAAAAATGTAAAAGAAAGACCAAAGTCCTCTCGAAACCTTTGCCCGAGAACGACGTGCAAAAATAAAGAACTTCAAAAAAGTGAACGCTGTGATTGTATAATACTAACACGCCTATTCCTTCAGTATTCTATTTAAAAAAACAAAGTTGACCTTCAAATCTACGAAACGCCTCCATTTATGAAAAAAAATAAATGCATTACATAATGTACCCTTTTAAACCATGCAACTTTTGTATACAAAATTTTTTCGTGCAACGCATATTTTGGAAGTTATAGAGGTACACAAGTTGCGTGTACAGAAAATCCCCGTTAATCATCTTTCCAACTCTACACAGTACGTTTTCAAATGTTCCTTTCCAACCTCTTACCGTAAAATGCATATTTCCTATTTCCACGTTCCAATAATAAGCAGATATTGTTAACGACATGAGAATTATGCTTTTTGAACTAGATGAATACTAAAGATTTTTACTACGTCTGTGTCTACAAAGTAATCTTTGTTGATATTAGTAATATAATCTTGTGTCTGTCTTTAACTAATATATTTTTAATGTATGTTCAACATTTTGAGAAGAGATTTCCTATATGCAATGGTTTGAATAATAATAACAAAAATCGATTTTGTTACCTAAAATCAGCAATTATTTGAAAACCTATTATTAAATACTCTGACTTTTGTATTTACTTAATAATAAATGACAGATTAAAACAATACATAGCTATTCGTAACACTCACACAATTGAATAGTTAAATTTTAATTTTTGAATTGTGACGTGTTTTATTCTGTAATTTAAATTCTAATTCTTCTTCTACGTGTAACAAATAGAAGAAGTTGATTATCTTGTATTATAGTAATGTTGCTCGCTTCTGCCTAGTAACGTAATGTGGGAGTCAGCGTGTTAAAGTAATAATTGCATCATGGTATGAACAAAAATAAAAAAGAAAAAGTAGTAAAGTTCACGTTTGCCCATCCTCGATGTCGCATGCCAATCTACAAAAGTAAGGGGTTCTCCTCGAAGAAGGACACCCCACGCCGAACTGCCGTGTCTCTTGTAAGTGGTCCCGTGTTGTCCAGGAGGTGCGGTTCAAGGTACACGACCCAAAGGCACACAGCAAAGGTGGGACACTCGAGAACACCATAAACGGGCGAGCCGATGAGGAGGCAGCGCCGGCACCACAACACCTCATTCATCCTGGCAAGGATATCAGCAAACTTTACGGTACGACTTTATATATATCATTATTCCTTCTTAACACATTGCCAACCAATTAGAAAATTATCCCTTTTATTTGTATTTAATGGCATCATAATTATTTAATCGCATTATAGCGAAACAATGTGCTGTTGATCGAAAAAAAGATTCCAAAGTCTGGATTATACACGGCGAAACACATAATTTGATCAGCTTAATTTATTCTATTATAAATAGATCGTTCAAAAGTTTTTTGTCAAGTATAACATGACCCAGGGAGAACTTTCAAATAATTATACTACATTTTTCGCAAACTGTTGAGAAACGAGTTTATAATTCGCGCCCGACTAATGCAGAGTCATCCAGTGGGTGACCACACCGTTCTTTTATTGTTTGTTGCAATATGGCGATATAGCGCGATGTGACTTTTTGCCCCTTAAGAACACGCTTTTGTATACCAAGTGATCCATACGATAATAAACTGCTTTTTTCTCAAAGTTTTGCTGATGAACATCGTTTGAATTAAGGTGCAAAATACTTTCCTTAACGTTCTTTTCCATTTAGATGGAAAAAAGTATTCGTTATGATTCCTGTCGAATTGGTCCTAATATTCAGTAATGTAAGGATGGTCGAAAACGGGATAGGGCAGAAAGCGTATACAAAAATGCGAAGAGCTACTGAGGACGGTTATCTTTTATTTCAACTGCCCCTTACCGCGGGCCTAGCTCGACTGACTCCTCGTTTCTCAATTTGGAAAAACGGGACCCACCGCTAGGGTGGGCCATGTGCAATCCGACGGAGCGCTTTCCCTAACCTTGGCGACTACGGGTCTCGCTCAGGCTAAGTGCCATAAACCAACGGCCAGGAAGGTCCTTGGTGCCGTACGCGCTCTTGTGGTTTACAGCTCGGCCGTTCCTGACAATTTGTTCGTCCTCGAACAATCACAAGTATCGACTCTTGTCCGTATACCTGACTTAAGGTTACCTTTTCTTTTCCCTATGCTTAAGAACAGTATTTCTATAATTTACGCTACATTCTAAAGCAGAAGAAGAACAAAAAAAAAACGCACATTTGTTACACGCAAGAGTTACTTATGTACTATATCGCTGACAAGTTAATAAGTAAAAATTCGCGCATTACAACTACATAAATTTTCCTTAAACTACAGTAATAATGAAAAACAATAAAAATAGAAAAAAAACTAATTAATATAAAATACTATTCAGTGGCTATTTGCCACGGACGCATATTCGCCGGCTCCCACACACCCTGGTATGGTTTTTGAGCTAGCTGAAATCCTTTTACATCAGCTACAACGTAACGATTATTGCGCAATTCTTTAATAATCTCGTAAGGACCTTTAAAATGTGGAATTAATTTGTGTGCGACCCCAGGGGTTGAGTCAAAATTTCTTATGGCTATCAAGTCGCCCACTTTATACTTAGATGGTGGTTTCCGTTTCTTATCATAATATCTTTTATTGTATTGCTGTGAGTTTTTGATTTCTCTACTTGCTTTTTCTCGGAGTGTCTCTAAATTTCTTTCCTGCGCGTTTGCCTGATCTAAATATTCCTGCACCTTATCCGAGATTTTACCGTTTTGGTTAATTCCGAATAGCAATTTACTTGGAGATTCCCCCGTTGATTTATTTATAGAATTATTTAATGCGAATTCTGCATCGCTTAGAACTTGGAACCATTTCCTCTGGTCCTTCAGCTTCGCAATCATAGGTACAACGATCCTATTAACTCTTTCGACTTGTCCGTTGGCTTGCGGTGACGCTGTAGCGACTAAGACATGTCTGATTTGTAATTCGTCAACGATATCTTTAAATTCTTTCGATGTAAAACATGTTCCGCGATCAGAAACTATAGTATTTGGTTTACTGTAATTCGCAAAATATTCATTTAAACATTTCACCGTTTCCGCCGTAGTCGTCGACACGACCGCAAACAATTTCACAAATTTCGTAAATGCGTCTACTACAAGTAGTAAATATTTCTTCGTGCCTGTCCCTATCGCTAACGGCCCGCAATGGCCTATGTGTACGGTCTCAAATGGCCTGCTCCCCCTTTCTGGTGGTTGTAAAAATCCCTCAAGTTTCCCGGACCGTGGTGAAAAGGCTACACACTTAAGACAGTTTTTCACGTGGGCCTGGACTTTTCCTCTTAGTTTTGGAAACCAATAATGTCTCGAAATGTTCTCGCACACTTTGTCTATTCCCATGTGACCTAGTTGATCATGATATTTAAACAAAATATTAGTTTCCATACTTTGCGGAACATAAAAAAGTAGGTCATCATTTCTTTTCCGATATACTAACCCTTCCCGCATCTCAAAAAATTTGTCCTCTCCGTTTTCCAATTTTTCCCTAATTTCTTTAATTGTAGGATCCTGATTTTGGCATACACTTAAATTGAACTCAAATGAATTAGCCTCGATTACCCCAATACTGATTCTACTTAAACCATCTACATGCCCCATTCGCGTTCCCTTCCGGTGTTCTATCACGTAGTCAAAACTTTGCAATTCTAACACCCACCTCGCAATCCGTGGGTTTACGTCCTTTTTGCTCAATGTTAGCGTTAAAGAGTTGCAGTCTGTAACTATTTTAAATTTAATACCATGTAGATATACTCGAAACCGCCTAAGTGCATATATTATTGCTAACGTTTCTAACTCAAAACTATGGTACCGACTTTCTGTTTCTGACGTTCTCTTTGAAAAATAGAATATAGGGTGCATTTTCATGTCTGATTTTCTCTGTATTAGAATAGCTCCAAACCCAAGTGCACTGGCATCGGTGTGCAACTCTGTCTCATCGCGGGGATCATAAATTGACAAAATCGGTGCTTCTACTAATTTTGATTTAAGCTTTTCGAAAGCTTCTAATTCCTTTAACTCGAATTTAAATACTGCATTTTTCTGTAGCAGATCGTAAAGGGGCTTTGCTAATATAGAAAAGATCTCAATAAATTTTCGAAAGTAGGAGCATAAGCCAACGAAACCACGCACATCGTGCACGCTTTTTGGTAACGGAAAATTGGACATGGCCTCGATACCGCGTATAGTGGGAGAGATTCCCTGCTCGCAAATCAGATATCCTAAATATTCTATCTCGCAAAACATAAATTTACATTTATCTACTCTTAATTCTAGCTTATTTTCCACGAGTAATTTAAAAACTTTTGCTATCACGTCCAAGTGATGTTCGATAGTCTCCGTCGCAATCAGGAAATCATCAATATACGCAACTACATCACCTGTATCTATAAGGGGCTTTAGGACTTCGTTTACGAATCGTTGAAATCGCGTTGGCGCCGTTTTTAATCCAAACGGCATTCTCAAATACTCAAATTGCCCCAAAGGCGTAACAAATGAGGTGTATTTAATTGAATTTTCCGCGACGCGTATGTGGTGAAAGCCGTCTTTTAGATCCAAGAGCGTAAAATATTTCTTATGGTTCTGTACATCCAACTGGTCTTCGATTAAAGGTAGAGGGTAATTATCTTTCGAGAGCGACTTGTTAAGGGTTCTGTAATCAACGCACATACGATATTCATCATTCTTCTTTCTGACTAGTACAATTGGTGACGCGTATTCTGAATTGCTGGGCCTAATAACGTTCTTTTCCAATAGATCGTCCAGAATTTTCCGAACCACTCCTTTTTCGGCGTATGACAATCTTCGCGGTGAAAAATGAAACGGTTGGTGTTCTTTAATCGCTAACGAGATTTCTGCGTTTATTTTGGGTTCCGTGGGTCGAATCGGCTCTAGATATTGACGCGTAAAAATATTTCGAATTTTCGCTTTGTTTTCTTCCGAAATTTCTTGATTAATGTTTAAATTGGCTACCGGCGAATCTAATTTATCGTTAATCTCAATGTTCATAATATCCGTTACAAAATTTTCCATTTCAGGGTCTGCAGCGGTTGCACTTTTGATTTTATACTCCGTTCCCAAAGAAATGTTTACCTTCGCCGACAAAATATAATCACGTCCAAGAATTATCGCGCATGACATAGTGGTATTCGGTACAACAAAAAAATTCATATTAAGTGGTAATCCGTTAACTTTTACCCGTTGCTCGAAAATGCCTTTTATATTCAACCGCGACCCATTTACGCCGCAATAGATGTGATCGTTTGACGAGATGCGTTTATACGACTCGCCTCCTAATACATTTTCTTTCATTAGACTTACCGGCGATCCTGAATCTAGCATTGCTACCGTTTCGATTTCTTTTGGCCTACCACAATTATCGCCGACCATAAACGATATCGGTACTGTAAACGCATTCTGAGTGAGCATGGTTGGACGAGATGGACGTTGGTTGCCTCGGAAGCCCTCGCTGCTCTAGACGTCCCGGTCGAAGTTAAAGTTGAGGTGCAAGCGTTTGCACGATGCTCGTTGCTGCCACAGCTGTAACAAGATCCCCAAGTCCTCAGCGGCTTCGGGCAATTCCTCTTAATGTGCCCCGTCGAATGACAATTATAACATCGAAATTCCTGATCGATCGCATCCTGCCTTGTCGGTGGTCTCGGGGTCGGCTGTCTTTTCCGGTCCACTCTGGTGCTTTCTCCAAGCCCCACTTTCCTGAACGCACGTAATAAATCCTCGGCACTTCCGTAGCAATTCATCCGCGCCTGGTCTCTTAGGCGGATGTCCGGAATGCCATCAATCAGCAGGTCCACTAATTCTTCGGAGTCTATGTTGACTTGGTTCGCCAACGTTAGCTTCTCTATATAATAATCGTAGAACGTCTCATTCCGATTCCACGCTCGAGCTTCCATTTCTCTTCGTAGCGCCAGCTTGCTCGGACGATGATCGAAAACTCCCTTCATCTCTGCGAGCAATTCAGTAGCGGACATCGAGAGATGACTCGGTTTTGATTGGCACCATTTTAATGCCTTGCCTTTCAGTCGCAAGTTTATCAAAATCTTAACTGAATTGTCGTCCAATTGATAGCTGTTGCGTAACACCTCCACCTGCTGTTTCCAAGTTTCGAAATCGTTAGATTCCCCCGT